ATGTTGTGTCAACGTCTTTAGCTATGGCAAAAGAATAGATATATTTCATACTATGGTGCTAAAATCTTGTCTAATCTTTATGACTCTTTGCAGTGCTCTTGATATAATGAGAAATTACATGATGGACCAAGATCGAGACAAATTTCAATTACGATGTCAGAATATTGTTCTTTTTCATAATGATCTTGACAAGTTCTACAAAATTGATATTAGACGTCATATCCGTCTTTTTTAGGGCTAATACTTTGTATATAGTTTTCTATTTTACTTCATAATTGCAGATACTATCATAATTTTGCATGCTAAGCTTGAATTTTTAGGTAATTCAAAGAACCACTAGTATTTCTTGTTTATATTGAACGGTTTTACACATTTTACAATTATGTTATAGAAGGTTATTTCTCTCTTTACAATAATCTTTTCTCCCTTTCGTTTCGTTCGCATATTCACACTTCAAAGAGGCATGCTCTCTCTCTATCTCTATCTCTATCTCTATCTCTATCTCTATCTCATCCTTATAACTAGGGATGTCAGTGGATCGAAACGGGGGCAGAGAGTGTAGTTTTCATTCTCGTACTCGCTTAAAAAATTTTCGTCCATTCCCGGTCCACCCCTGTTAACGGTTATAGTTTTCATCCTCATCTCCGTCTGCAGGTAAATTTTTAATCCCCGTTCCCGCTTCTCCCGTACCCGCCCAAGCCTAAGCCCAAGTCGAAGAAATATAATCCAAAATTTTAAATAAATTCAATATTTTAAATAATCCAACAACATTCTAAATAATTTAACACAACATAATGTAGATTACAAAATGTAAAAGCCAAAATAATATAATATTCTATTTAAAGTGTCATTGGACCACAAAAAGAGAAACGGAACAATTAAAGAGAAAGGAAGAAAATGAACATAAAATTGAACTAAGAAAACGATAGCACTACAATTGAAGTTTTCTAGAAGAATTTTTGTTATTACAATTCATATTACAACCATAAAGTGTTAAAAAATGAAAAATTAAAATTTTGTTAATTCAATAATTTTTCTCATTTCTTAGTTCACTCTAGCAGAGAAATTCATCAACCTCCATTAACAATATTTTCTACCCAAGATGAAATGCAAAATTATCTTACTCTCTCTTATCTGTTTTTAGAGCATGGTCAATCCAAACTCCTAACAGTTTCAATCAAAGAGCACAAATAGAAAAAAGAATAATTAAGGAAAAAAGTTGATAAAATTACTACATAGCAATGTCACTTGTTAGTTTGATTATCATATGTAGTTATAGGAAATATGTTTAGTTAGGGCTTGAGAGTATTTTTATTTATATATATATATATATATATATATATATATATATATATAACGGGTAATGGGGGCGGGGCGGGGGGTAAAGGTAAGTCCATCCCCGTATGGGTTTATACAGGTATTCTCGTATACGTCTATCATCCAATACGTATAGTCCATCCCCGGTCCAAACGGAGTGGATTTTGACGAATACCTATTTTCCCCCGGTCCACTGCTATTCCTACTTGCAACCAGCAAATGACCATATTTTTGCATACGTGTCACCCAAAAATAGCAGGCAGTGCCACAAGGCTTAGTTTAAAACAGGGGCGGCAATCGTGTTGCGTTAGATATATTCATGACGTGTTATTATAGGTTTGTATCGACCACTACTCAATTCTAATTCAGTCCATTTAATTAATCGTGTCTTGTCGACTAGACCTGTTCATTTGTATGTCGTTTTCATATTGACCTATAAAACTCGTGAATAAAGAATTTAACGTTAAGATTGAAGTCTAAGTTTTTTATCATCACTTAATTGAATCCATGTTCATACTTTTTCTATAAATTAAAAATTAATTTAATAAACATAACAATAAAAATGAGTAAAATATCTTTTTTGTACAATAATTATGTAAATACTTTATAAACAATAACAAATAATTACATTTTATTCTTATAATAACAATAACGTGTTAATCATGTCAATTTTCTATTGTTCTTATTTAATACTAACTATACCCATTTATTATTTGTTTTAACAGGTTGTATCATTTGTGAGTTTGTGTTGAAAAAATGTCAATTATAACCTACAAATTGTGTATTGATTTCAAATTGTGTTTTCGTGTTATGTTAAAAATTACGATCTCTAATTTAAAGACATAAACACCATGTTTTCTTTTGCCTTCGGTATTCTTGGGATAAAGGGTTGTTTGGCAATATAGGCACGCACAATCAGTGCAAAATTTACAATCACACCTCTTTAGTTTACTTAAATGTTAATATATGCCTTAATGACCTCTTAAATTGTACTTGCATTTCTAATTAAGAAGTGATGAAAATGGACGCTAAAGAAATTAGCACCAAATTCATTTACAATTTTCCCCTCGTATGTCAAAAACCAAATGTACCCGACCATCACATGCACCGCCCACGATCCATCACCCCGCCATTGATTAGGCCATGGCACCACCAACACTGAACATTCCCACTCTCATGTCTGACCTTCCCTGGCCTGAACAATTTTTCATCCTCTCCATCTCGTATCATGATTTTCTTTTGATAGAGGTCCTGATGATACATAAAATAGGTTTATGTAAGATCAGCAATCAAGTGTGGGATAAAATGAAATTAATGGACAATAAATAGAGCAATTAATGACAATAATATAAATATCGGATCAACACACAGATATATAGTGGTTTGGTCCGGGTGATCTATTCTACTTCAAAAAACGGCAATGGTGAACGAGAGATCTCTATTGATGAAGCAAGGTAAACAAGAGAGAGAGAGCAATGATTAACTCGAGGGGGTACAATAGCTAAGAGAGAAAATTTATCTGTCTATAGAGAGGTGTAGAGGTAGAGTTCAATGTATTCTCTCATGTACACAGAATTTACAATTTATACGAAGCCTTGGTTAAGGCGGTGACGTGAAGGCTCTCTAGGTCATTACAAAAGGTAAGCGTCATAAAAGGTTGTTTTAATATTCGAGAGTGAGTATTTGGATAATTGTTCCCCACATATTTTAATTCTTCTTTGACTCCTTTGAAGTTGGGTTGGGTCGAATTTTTAATCTGTGTTTGACCTGTCTTTTAGCTGATTTGAGCTTACTTGATTTATGACCCAGCAGGATCTGGACTAATCAAATTAACATATTTGATTTTTTTCCATTCTTTAGAGATTCGATTTGCCAAATCAATGGCCATGGCCTCGAACAAATTAGTGGCTTGGTCGATGAGTTTCACATGCGTATTCAAATTTTGTTGTAAAAGTTAGGGTTGACTTCTCCTAAATAGACTAATAATAACTTGAGTCATCAAAAAAAATTATTTAGAGGTAAGTCTATTTTTAATCTTATTAGTAAGGAGTTAAGTCTATTTTTTTTTTTAATCTCAAAAATACCTTTAATAGTGTTAGTTTAGTCGTTTATAGAAAGTTGAAAATATTATCTACAAGGAGCTATATAAGGAGGTCAATGATTAAATGTGAGAATGCTTGATTTTCGATGATAATTGTCATTTATAAGTTTTTCATAATACTTCAAATTCAAATTCTTAGGAATTATTTTGTCTATTATATATTTAAATAATCGACTTTCAAAATTTGAGATTAATTTGAAAGAGATGAAGGTTAAAGTTGGAGTACGAGCTCAAGATTTTGAATAAGTAATATGGACATTGCATGCCAACTACTTGATGTTAACACAGTAACATCAATTCAGTAACATTAATTTTAAAACATAATTTATTAATGCATATCACTATTTTTTTTATGTTACTATTTTTTATTGAGCATGTTATTACTTTTTCAGTATTACTTTTTTTAAGGATGAAAAATTAGAGGCTTCTTCCTTTGGTTATGAGTCTGAATGCTTCTATTTTTAATTTTAATTTTGTTCAATATTCCATATTGCTATTTTTTTTTGTTGAAGATGTTACTACTTTTGATTAAACATGTTACTATTTTTGTTGAACATGCTACTATTATTATTTTTTTAAAATATAAATATCGAATGTTACTATTTTTTTTTAAAAAATATTACTATTTTTTGTGTTTAAATAGTATTAGTTTTTGTATTTAAATGATACTTTTTTTTTGTATTTGAATGTTACTATTTTTTATTTTTAATGTTATTATGTGCGTGTGTGCATGAGATATATATATATATATATATATATATATATATATATATATATATATATATATATATATATATAGTCCTAACCTATATATGAATGTAGATAGATAGGTGAAAAAGAAAGAAATTAATGTTACTCAAACTTTTAAAATTTAAGAGGTTTTAATTTTTAGTTTTACTTCACTTCTAAAAAGAATGATAGGATGATAAAATTGATAAAAAATAAACTTCATAACAAATAAGTTTCTTTGGCGGACTTAAATAAAAATAAGTCTATATAAGAGGATCAGCCTCCAAATTTTCTAATTTTTTTTTATTTTGTCATTTCTAGCCCACCCCATTAATGAAATTGCAATAATTAAGTGGTGATTGTGGAGATATATTGGTACTGGGTTGGGTGGTTATAGGATCAGAGATTGAACTCGGGGTGGAAATTGGAGGATTAGTGGTGGATTGTTTTTTATTTTTTATTTTTTCTTTAAGGGTAAATTGATACTTATGAGAAATGTTGGAATGGAATTAGCAAAATCCATCATTTTTCCTATTCTTTGACTAATGGTGGACAGGGCTAGCTAGACATGTACCAATCAGGTTCGGCTAGCTCTAATGATTTTCCATTTTAAATTATATTGAGGTACTAGGGGTGTCAAGTGTAATTTTTGCTAATCCTATTTTCTTTGTAAATGATTCTTTCATAGGTGTTTGATTGTTGTTGGTGAAACAGCTTTAGTTACATGATCTTGACTGTAGATAATCGTAATCCCCTCCTCCAATTTCGAAGCTCCTTCCTTACTACTCTCCTCGTTCAATCCATCTTGGATATGTCCTGAGGAAGGGCTCTCTCTCTCTCTCTCTCTCTCTCTCTCTCCCCTTCTCTTGTTTTCTCAAAATCGTCTCATTTGTCTCTCCATTTTCTCTCTCTACAATCCACTGAAGAAAACACACCCCTATGTATGTATAGGTGGGGAAAGGAATTGCGATGATTTCGCGTTGACCTTCGATTGGCCAGTCTCTGCAACGTTAGCCAGCGGTATGTAATGCATCATAATTCATTTTTCTTTCTGATTCTTAATTTTATTGATTTCATTTATCTGTCACTTCCGAATTTTTGAAGTTCCTATGTTGATTTTGTTCCATATTTCTGTTGTTTAGCGATTTTTTGAGGTGATTTGAGCTAATTTTTTGAATCGTTACGAGGAATTTTTTTAGGTTATTTATTGTGAATCATGTGTATTTCGATATGAATATAATTATTTTGATCAATTATCAATTTTAATTGCTGTTTTTGCGTTGCCTCTGATTGAAGACTTTCTGTATTAGCGAACTGGCGCGTTAACTAAAAAAGGAAAGCAATTAATGCCTTTATCCAGTGAGGGATAGAGTGAAATGTAGCCAAAGACCATTATGGTGTGTTCACATTCAATGACCATGGAATGATCAAATGAAAGCTCAGTGATTTGGACTTTTTGGATGAAACAGTGTCACTGTCACATTAATATAATTGAACATTGTTGACATTCATAGAGTATATATTTTGAAGAAAAATAATACTTTTGCATCCAGGGGATTGCATTATACACAAGTTTTCTTACGTGAGCCTGTTTTGTGACTTGTAAAACATGCAAAGTATCACACACATGCTTTAGAAGTGTAAACCCACACAATTGATTTTAATTGGCTAATTTTGTGAAGTTTTGATGTAAATTTCAACTTGATTCTATGGTCAAGATGTTTCAAAGATCAAGTTTTGAAAGTGTCAACGAAGGACGGAGTTCAAGCTACAAAATCAAATCAAGAGATCTTCAATGCTTAGTTAAGACAAAGATAATGACCCACATACCCTTGATTTATTTATAGACTTAGCTTAATTAGGATAATGGAATTAGAACTAGAAACATCTGTGAATAATTCTTAAGCTTTGTGTGAAAAAGATTTTCTAAACCTTAAATTCGTTTTAAAAAAAATAGAATGAGTCATGTATCAGATGTTATTTGAACAACAATCCTTAGTGCTCAATAGATCTAGTTTTTGCTTAGGTTCTAACTTAAAAATAAGTCGGGACTTCCTTCGACTCGCTCACCTTTGGCTAGAACAGTTTCTGAATGCTTAAGGAGACTAAACTAGAGAACTAATGGAGACGGCTCGTTCGGTCTTGAGACGGCTTGAGCAATTTGGTCCCTGGAGGGTTAGAATAACTTATTTTTCACTCTAGAAACCACTACACTTTGACCACCTCTCATAGCTTGAGCAGTCGGTCAAGAATTTGAGTTTTCTTGGGCTCCAATTAAACTCTATTTTCGGGACCTATATATAGGAGGTTATAGTTTTTGCCTAGGATAAGCCTCTATAAACTAAAAAAGACTCAAAATCTTTGTAGAGAGCTTCAAGAACAACCCTATATCATATTCAATTTCACACATTGGAGAAGAACCCACATTAGAGAGTGTGCATATCCAGAATCATAGGTGTGTCCTAGAATACTACTCGAGGGGTCTAAACGGGTCATTGTTGTAAGTGCGTTCAAGTGAAGCTACTCGTACGATGGGTGATATCTAGAGGAGAGATTTACAATGGAATGAGCATCTAACCATGATGAATTGGTTGAGGTATAAAACTCAAGTACTTGTAAATTGATTTTGTGTTTAGTGGTTTATCCTCTAGGTGAACCGAAATCGGTTCCACGATTCTAAGAATAACCTGGAGGAGAGCACTCATGATCATGCTTAAGAGGAGTTCCCCTTCACAAGTGCAAGCCTGTAATTGCTAAGAACCAAAAAGATCCCAAAGCTTGTTTTGTAGCTTGCAAACTGGATATTTGAAGATGGTTATTATTTTAGATTTAGGTTGAGCAATTCATGGAAGTTTCATTAGAGTACATTATTTAAAAGAAAACCTGAATTGGTGTGCATTAGAATTTCGACAATATCTTCATCCGGAAACTCCTCCCATGCTGTGCATGTTAGTTCTTTATTTGGTCTTTGAAAGCAAAATAATCAATTTATAATGTCCATGGTATCTTGTGTGGGTCAAGAACAACTCCTGTTTCAACTTTTTAACTCAATTCCTTGAAGTAAGGGATTATATAAATTACATTTTTGTACATTGCAGCAACCTAGAAATTGTTGTATGCATCAATTAAAGACTTCCACAATCTACCTATGTCTTTTTTAAATCCCCACAATCATTTGTTTATATGCACTTTTTTGTTTATAGACCTGCAATATACAATGTACAAACCCGTGTGGTACTTCAGATTTTTTGGGGAGCTTGTGGGAACGGAATAGAAAGTTGCATAAAATATGTAAGTTTTTCCTTTTCCAAACTAACTTTTTGGTTGACTATGCTTTCCCATGGATCCCAAACAGCTAAAATTAAGTAGATTCTTGTAGTAGCTTTTCAAGTTAGAAACTGAGTTTTCTATTTTTGTTATTGAAGTTCTCTGCTAATATATTTTCTATTTGTTATTGAACAACTCTGAACTCCAGTCAGTTCAATTTCCTGATATTTGTCATGATTCTGGATCCACTTCCAAACTAAAAAGAATCCATTTCTCTATGTAAGTCTGCAATCAGTCAAAAGCCTTGTTGATTAATAACAGAAGTGTTATTTGTAAGTCGTCCAACCTAATACGTCTTGATAATATGGTACACAGTTAATACTGGACTAAAGAGCTGATATTATGGGAGTTTTGAAATTTTAGATGTGTTCTTAAGATCAGGATGCTTATTGTCCACATTTCGCAGTTCTTGCTTAACCGTTGCAGTGTAACTAAAATATTGTTTTGTTATTCTCTACTCTGCTTGTAAACTAATTAAATAACAATTGTGAAACCCTTTCTGATGATGGTTTAGTTTCTATGATAATTGATCATGGCAGTTGCAGAACTATTTATTGAAGAGAGGAATCATCCGCTATTCTAGCCGCTCACTAGCTTTTGAAATTATACAGCTCATGAGAGGCTGAGTTATGCTGTGGAACTGCAATGTTGGTGGGTCATCCTCATAATAATTTTCCTCCATATCATGGCCTTGCGACCTCTCCGCCTCTCCTCCAGACGAACTCCTCCTAAGTTTCTTTTTATTGGACTCTTAATTCTTGTGCCAATTTGTGTAATTGGGAGTTTCATCTACGGTCAGAAAATCTCTTATTTCTTCCGTCCACTTTGGGATAATCCCCCATCTCCATTTGAGCACTTACCACATTATTATGCAGAAAACGTTTCTATGGACCACCTCTGCCGCCTCCATGGCTGGTCCTTACGTTCGGTTCCCCGTCGTGTCTTTGATGCCATCATATTCAGCAATGAGCTGGACCTGCTTGAGATTAGGTGGCGTGAACTCCATCCGTATGTTACAAAATTTGTCATCCTCGAAGCCAACACCACCTTCACTGGCATTCCAAAGCCTTTATTCTTTGCTGCAAATCGAGATCGATTTTCCTTTGCAGAGGGGAAAATTGTTCACAGTGTGTTTCCTGGCCGGATTGCATCGTATGGCTCACATGAAGACCCATTTGTACTTGAGTCACAGCAGCGGGGGGCTATGAACGGATTGATTCGCCGTGCAGGTATCTCCAGTGGCGACCTCCTCATTATGTCAGACACCGATGAGATCCCTAGCTCCCACACTGTGAAACTACTTCAGTGGTGTGATGAGGTGCCTCAAGTGCTGCATCTTGAGTTGAGACACTATATGTACTCCTTCGAGTTCCCTGTGGACTACAGCAGCTGGCGCGCCACGGTCCACATTTACAGCCCGCGGACTCAATACCGGCACTCACGCCAAACTGATCTTATACTTTCTGATGCGGGATGGCACTGTAGCTTTTGCTTTCGGCATCTACGAGAGTTTGTATTCAAAATGACTGCCTACAGTCATGCAGATCGTGTGAAGCATAAAGATTTTTTGAAGTATTCTAGAATTCAGAAACTCATCTGTCGTGGAGATGATCTTTTCGATATGCTACCTGAGGAATATACTTTCCAGGAATTGATTAAGAAGATGGGACCAATAACTCGTTCGGCTTCTGCAGTTCATCTTCCTGCTTGCTTGATAGAAAATGCAGAGAAGTTCCAATTTCTTCTTCCTGGGGGTTGTGTACGCTCATAAGAATGAAATTTTCTTGACAAGCTGTGCCACACATCAGATAAGTGGAAGTTGTTTAGAACTTTAGATAGAAAGTATCTCACGAAATTGTTTTACATTTACTTAAAAAAATACTGTTTTAGGTTGCTCTTATTGTCCTTTCATTCCTTTCGTGCAGTGACGCTTGTGGTTCTCTGAAGATGTGAGGAATTTCAATTTTGTGTTTTTTTCTGTATGATAGTCTTCTTTTAGATTATTGTGATTTAATTTTTGATTTGCTAGGTTATCTTCTTGAACAGAGAAAGGACCATGTTTTGTCTCAATCAAGAGTAGCCACTGGCTATGTATTACTCCGAGTAATTGTGTTATTTAACGAAATGCATAAGCTGTCTTCAAGTGGTCTTCATATATCTCAGCAGTTTGATTGCATGGTACTAGTCAGCTTTGTGGTGGACACTACCCTCCAGGCACGTTTGTTAAATTTTTTGTTTTTCCTCATCTCGTGCAATATCAACGACACTCTGATCTTTGAAAAAAAATTACTGTTCACATTGACCATCCTATATAGCTAGTCTCGCACGTTTTCTTTGTACATCAGTGTAAACTTACAGCATTTGAGGTCTATGAATCCGTTCAATGCACATGTTCATGTTTCTGTTCCCCCCCCCCCCCCCTCCAACCCAATTATCTTGCATTGTATATTTTTCCAACTTGTGTTCTCCGTGATGAAAACCCTAATGTAATCTGCAGGATATCTGCAGTAATATTTAACAACTGATGTTCTTCCACTGCATACGTGTTCTTTCTTTTTGGATTTGTGTTGGGTTCACCATTTAAGGGCATGTTTCTGCATATATGCTTCCCATCTTTGTGTTAAGGTTTCAATAGGGAATTGGCAATTGCTTTTTAAAGTTCTTAGCTTGCACTTTAGTGTATTCCTCTTTGGTCTCGTCTTTATTTAAAAACTGAGAAGGCTCATTATTATCAAAAGTATAATAATGAATAGTTGAGATTATGGTGAGAAAATTGAACTTGTGTGCTTTTCCCAGAGCCACTTAGTCCAGTGAATCTCTAGATGCTTTACTTCAATGGTGTGGTTGTGCTGCCACCATCATTCATGGACCATATGCACTTACTAGTCAATTCTAAGGTGACAGTTCCTAGGCTTAAGTTTACATTAATTTGACTTTAATGATATGAATGGGTTCAAAAGATGGGGTGTCCATTCAGATTTGACCTTAATTTGACAAACACATCCAGAGTGGCATCAAACCTGGAGAGGTAGGGGGCAAGTTGGACAAAACCCCACCTGAGTAAATATTCAGTGTACGGTGTTATCATATCATCGGTAATACATGGTACCACTACCATCCAGAGTTCACTCGAAATCAGTCAAACTCTTGACAACCCCAAAATGGAGGGTGCTCGGCCAATTTTCTTCCCCATGCTGTCACCCTATCACCAATTATGTTCATTTTGAAACTCATATTGCAAACATAAAATAAATATCAATTGATTGTGTACATACATGTATGATTATATATAATATTATTTTAATTTGAAATTGATTTGAATGCGAGTTTTGGAGTGAATCGCACCCCAGTAGTGTGCTAATTAAATCTATACCTATCAAACCATGTGCAGATCATTCTGACAACTTAACCTTGTACCATATGTCAAATTAATCTACGATCCAAATAACATTGGTATTTCCATCCAATAACAAGGTTGGATGGATAAACTCATATGGAACTTCACTATTGATTTGTGATACCAAATGTCTAGTTGTTGTTTTACATACCTAAGACAGTGGATTACATATATATGAAAAGATTAGTCGGAGTGCTCTAAAAATTTGGATACATCTTTCCTAATCAGCAAAAAGAGGGGAAAAAAACGAACAGGCATCCTCTTATCCCATGATATCCAGGAAGCTGAAAATCTTTATGAGAAAACGATATCCTAGAAAAGAAAAGGAACAGATGCAACTTTTATTCCATTCTAGACTCTGATGCCAGAAGTGACTTTCTCCCCTTTCTTTTTTTCTTGTGGTTCTTTTGGTACGAAGGATGAAAAGAAGGAAAAAATGAAACGTAAAAGGAATAAGTTTTTTATCCACAAAGGAAAGAAAGTTATTTTTTTTTTCTTTTTTGTTTGATAGAAGGGATGAAAACTAAAAGGGATATATTTTTCATCGTTTAATATTGGATGAAAATTGAAAGGAAAGGAAAAATATATATGTCCAATTTATAATTCTACCCTTAAATATATTAAGTGAATTTTTTATTACAAATCAATCCAATTAATTTGAAAAAGCATTTAATCCCCTTATTTTTGTTACAAATTAATTTTGGAGGAAATACAACAGTGAATTTATCTCCTGGTGATCGGCAAAAGATGTGTGAACTGGGAATGAAATATATCTAATAAGTAAAGGGTAAAAATGTTAACTAAAAAAATTATTATATTGCCTGCACTTTTTCCCTTCACTTACCACCCAAATTTGGGCTGAAAATATTTGGTGAGCTGGAAGGATAGAGATTTTCTCCCACTTTCTTCTCCTTCATACTTTCTTTTGGTACCAAACAATGGAAACATTTTCCTTTCCTTCCATTTTTCCTCTCTCACTTCTTTTCCACCGATTTTTCCACCGTACCAAAGGCACTATTGGAGTCATCTGTGTGAACAAAGAAGGAATAAATCATTTGAGTAAGAAACTGAAACCCAAGGGGGCGAAAAATGTATTGTTTTACTAATTCTTGTCAATTAAGCGAAGGCATATTTTGGGATTAGTTAATTTTCTTATTATTAATGTTGATCTTTTTCAGCTTTATAGGTTAACGATTTTGCAAATGGGTTTTTGTGTTTAGCAATGTTTTTGTATTATTCGCAACCAATTGCAACTAGGCTTGTTTTTTCTCAATGGGTCTAATTTTCTTCCCAATGGAAATCGAGTTAGTTAGATGTAAATGGATTTTTTGACTGGCTATCCACGTTCAAGCCTAAATCTATTCTTTTTTTTTTTTATCAAATTCTAATGTGGATATACTTAAATCCGATCTAATTGTAATGTAATCCTACTCATTAAATTTATGGGGATATTAGTGTTATTTGTTGAAATAATTGAGGGCAAATTTTAGATGAAATTTTTTAAACTCAATCGAAATTGAGTTATTTGAATCAAATCGACCTTTCTAACTGTCAACAGATTGAAACATAAACTCTAAAAAATAGAATCTTGATTTGGGTTCGAATTTGCCGAGTCCCATGCAAATACAGCCTAGTTAGCAATCATTTGCACCATGGCTCATAAGAATCTTTCATATCTACTCCAGTAGTTGATCATCCAAATAGTTTTTAGATGTGCACATATGCAAATGTAATTAATTATTCACTTGATGAAGTCAAAAGAAATTCGAAAAGCTCAAATTTCAATGTAATGTCATACTTTGCCTAAGCAAAGACGGGTCTCGTCGTTGATCCTTTGTTTGGAAAGGACTTAATCAACTCGTCTATATTAGCACTTGAATTATCCTTGGATTTTACTCTCACTTCTTTGGATATTATTTTTGTGCGACTAATAACCACGTTTTAATTTTTTAAGGACTGAGATCTATGAAATGTGATATGGTAAGTACAAGAGCAATGTTAAATCAGTGAGTAAAAGAATATGTAAATTCGTGTGTTTATTTTCTATTAAAAAAGATCATCACCCAAGTTAGTTTTCTAAGAAGGAATCTTTTCAACCATGCATCCTTTGAACTCATGGTGGAAAATATAAACTTTGAACACACGCAATCATTGTCCAACTTTGATCTCTTTAATATGACACGTTTTTAGTAAAGAAAAAAAGATAATTTGTACCTAATTGGAGAATATAATTCACTAATCCGATCAATTACAGCTATTGCACTAAAAATGGGATCCACCAACTTTAAAACTCATAACTAATTTAATAATTACAATTGATTAAATTAATGTATTAAGTCCCAAAAAAAGTCCTATTTAGTAAAACACCAATAATCCATGTTGGAAAAGAGTAACGTTATGTTGATCAAGTTTTTTATTAAATTTTTTATCTCAAGTGATGTGACACAATTTTTATCATTAAATATTAATAAAATTTATTTTTTTTAATAGTAAAAACTATACTACATCACTTCAGGTAAAAAATATCTGACCAGTATAGCAATGTTGATTGGAAAAAGAAACCAGTGAAAGTGGAAAGAGTAGAGATAAGAATATAGGAGACACACAAAAGTAAGACTTGATGATAAAGAAATACCCCCAAAAGAGGGAACACACTAGTGGTGGAATTTTGCCACATAGGCTTTGGGAGCATCTAAGGAAACTCCATGGAAAGTGACACTGGCTTAAGCCTTTTTCAGTGCAAAGCCAATTCATTCATTGGATGCTAAAATTTATCTTTGGCAACATCACTTTGAAAAGGGCAAAAGATAGTGACCAATTGTAGCTTTATTTGTCTTCATTTAAAAATTTTAGAAAATTAAAGAAAAAGTGATCAATTATTACAACTTAGCCACTCATATCCTTCCAACACTGATCTTGACATGAGAGAGAGAGAGAGAGAGAGAGAGCCTTTGTTTTTTGCCCTTTTTTTTTTTTTTTTTTTTTTCTTATTTTGGTTTGTATTAGCTTTTGGTTGATGAGTCAACAAAGGTGGATTGATTTCATCACCCTAATAAAAAATGAATTACTAAAAAAAATTATGCCAATTGACTATTCTTTTTAATTATAACATATTCGGGACTCACACCCGATTTATAATTGAAAGTATTCAATTCTTTGTCTCATCTGCGTCGAAGAATTATGAAAAGATAAATCCTTTAATATAGTATTAGGAAGAGATTTGAACTCGAGATTTTCAATTCTGTAAATTGAATTTCTCACTAACTTATTCATTGCTTGACGGTCAATTGAACAAAATATAACTCTTTTATATTGAAACAATCTCATTGCATTTGAAAATGAGAGAAGCTAGTAGTACTAAACTTGTCTTATACCAGTTAGGTTACAATGACTATATTAATCTAATTAATGTAGCCAAGTTCCCCACGTATCAAGCATTTGAAGTTTTATATACATCATGCATTTGAATTTACTAATCTTTATTGAAACAACAATCTCATGGTCAAAGCTAATGGTAGCAATAGTATAGAGAACAAAACAAAGAGACATTTTAAAAAAAAAAAAAAACATTATTAGACAATTGTAATTCCCACACTGTCGTCACTAGATTAAGACACCAATCATGACGAGTTTTCATCATAGAAAATTTGCAGAATTGACATGGATGAT